TGTGAATCTTTTCAGACCAGAGTCAGTCTTTTATATATATTTTAAATATTTTGGAGTCTATTGGAAATATATGTGTGTATCCTGTAACTATAATTTTTCTATGGAATTGAGGGCAACGAATTTTGTCTCTACTTTGCCAACCCATGCTTGGGTAGATATGATTGTTTTTGTATGATATTATTATATGTAAACTCCAAAACTACAATTTGTTATATAGATTGATGTCTCCTAAATTTCCTTTATCCCCATCGTACTCTAATTTAGTTGCTTTTATCGGTTGTTTAGAATTGAGCTATGGGAATTGACGGTGGTTTAATGTGAATTCCGCGACTATAGTGTATTAGTGACAATAGATTAATATCTCTATTCGTGACATGCAAGGAATTGGATATATCAACCAACCTTATTGGATGTAGCCTAATTATACAAAATTTTAAAGTTATTTGCATTTTAATCGACATTTTTACAAGTCTTGAGTTGTCCTATTTCTTCCATATGTATAAAATGTATTAAGATGAGTACCCTTTTTCTAGCGACTCGAGGAGCTAATCTGATAAATGCACTTCAAAGGGAGGGAATTGATCCCTACGATCGAAGTTATATACTCTATAATATAAGTCTTATCCATACAAGTAATGGATACATATTTTTCTAATTAGAGAGTTTCAAATAGAATATAGTAATATCATTCTTATAAAATCTTAAGCTTAGATGTAGCTCTTACATTGAGAGTCAACCACTATGACATGTTTATTTATTTGTATAAGCACATTGTTGATCATGCCGATTAAGGCCCGCTACCAAAAAATAACTCTCCAATTTTATAATTAATTTTGGAAATGAATATTAACTTTGTGTTTTTAATTGGTGTGCTCAAACTTGACACACACGAAAAAGGAAAGATATGTAACTTATAAAGTTTCTAATTGTCACGTCCAACCTAGTTAAGTCTAAGGTACTAAATATATGTCAGAGAGATTAGGCTAAGTCCATGTAAATGAAACCAATGAATTGTTTAGACCATGATTGACTATATAGCAACTTTCACAATATAAATTCCGAACAACTTCGATTATCTTATATCATATATCATTATTATATCGTTTTAAGTTTATTCTCCCTATCCCTACATCAATTAATTTATCATACTTCACTCTTTAACTTAGCATAACAGTGAAAGCAAATTTTATTTTGTAACAAATGATTTTGCAATTGATAATTCTCATAAGTTAATTAGTCACTCAATTCAGTTCATAATATGCCTATGTTTGAACTCCATTTTCCCCAAAACTCATTTCAACTATACATTCTCACATGTAACAAATCAAACGAAACCACATCGCGTAACCATTAGATGTTGATCGGTCTGGAGATTTCATTAGGCTTGCAATTTCCTCTTTTCTATTCGTAAGTCGAAAGTTTAGCCTTGTGTTCTCCGGAGGCATTCCATACTTTCCTCTTTATTATTAATAAACTGGCGGCCTTACTTGTCAATTTCCTCTTCGTCCAACGATGTCCTCCATGGGTTCCTCAACTACTTGTAATTTTGCCACTTGTCAGTCGAATTGTCCTCTAGAAAATCATTGTGTACATATAATTAGGGCCAGCCATTTTTTTAGGGTTTCTCAACACTTTGATCGAGAAACCCGTGAAAAAATCTCAATATGGAGTTGTTGATGAAGAACACTATATGATCAACTCCAAATGTTTGTGTCCTTTCTTTTCCCATGGCAAAACAACATGCTTATACACGTGGGAAGAATTAAAAGCTATAACTTTTTTCTTTATAAAAAGCTGCTTATTTTTGCTGATTGGTAGCTATATCAAGAATGGTGTATCATGGGCCAAATGCTTCTTTTCATACCACAGACTCATAAGATTCCCATGACAGCTTCATCCACCAGAAAAATAGTTATCACTACTTTTTCTTCTCAAGTTTTCTCAATATTAGGTCACCAACTAATTCTGCAGTATATAATTTCGGAAAAAGTTTCAGTTGCACATAATAATTTTTACTTGGAAGAAATAGTTTGTTTGAGTCCCGCAACCATTGTATTTAGTTGTGATGGTTGAGCAATTTGGACTCTATAAGCCAATGAGCAATTTCAACTCTATAAGCCAAACTAACGTATCGTTCTTGTTTGGTAGAGATTAAAATCAGATTTTTATCAAATTTTGATAAAAGTTGATAGAAAGTATGATATATAAAAATGTTATGGATCCTATGAAATATGTGTTTAAAATTAATTGTTAACTTTGACTTAGATATTAATCATATTTTTTAACGGTGCCAAATGGGGGTATAATATTAAAGGTAATGTAGTACATTGTTTATGCATAAAATTAATAACCAATATATAAGGGTTTTAGTTACTCATTTTCACAACATTGACTATTTAATATCAAATCTGATAAGACTTAATACAGTACAGAATCCAAAAAAAGTTTAACTAGCAATCGATCCATCTAATTCAAATGAACGATAGGATTTCAAAATTGGTATCATCAAATGAGTCTAATTCATCTTGCGACATCATGTCAAAGGTAAAATCTGATATTGTTTAAATACGAAGATAATAATCAATAAGCTCGGAGTTGTAGTGCACTCACTTTACATAATATTAACAGTTGTACATTGACTTAAGAATTAGGATGTCACGCAGAACTTTTCGCTCACTCTTACTTTACCTATTTTTTGCAGCTTCTTTAAAGTTATTTAATTTTCAAAATCGTTGTGTCAAATGAAGTCGACATTTCGTTAACAAATTTTAACAGCAACAGATCTTACTATTTCCCAAGCAAAAGTCACCCAAAATAATCAGGATGCATAATCTTCCTTGTACAGAGTACTGTGTGTGTTTGTATCCAAATAAAATGAAAAAAAAAATTAATATTGTTATTTGTTGGGAGGTGAGTGAACAAATAATAGAGTAGGTCCCAAATCCAGCTTAGGAAAAAACCCCGTGATTCCCGACGCAAAGGCAGCTGCAAAAATGCAGTTTTTCTTCAGTTTAGTATTTACAGCTTAAATGTGAACTAATATTTGAGAAAAACACTAGTCTTTCTTGGACATTTATTCTTTCAATGTCCAATTTCAAACTACTTATTTATTGTCCCATTCTTTTTTGAATAATTCTATTTGTCCCCCTCTCATAATGCGCGTAGTTTCCGCGTGAATATAAAAATTTCAAAATGTGGTCCCTCATCCCTTATTGTGAGCAGTAGGTAAATGATTAGGTAAAAAAATTACATATACTTGTAGCATTGTGCTTTTTTGGGGGGATCAAGTTCATATGTTAATTTTAAGTACGTAATCGCATCAAATTTCTGTATATTTTTTCCTAACATGTATAATGGGTGTAATTTTTGAGCTTTTATAGCTGCCTTTAAAGGGAATAAATTATATTCTCCTTTTCACCTTTAGTTAGAAATCAGGCTGAGCCCCCTCCAAATGCTCTTTTATTTTCACTTAGTCCCCATTTAACAAAATATTTTTGAGATTACAAGCTGGTGTAACTTCATTTTAATCACATATTTCATTGAACCCATAATTTTTAATCATACATTACATAAGACCATCTTATAATCTCTAAAAGTTCATTCAACTTATTATTAGTAACATGTGCCATCTAAAGTGGTTTAAATAAAAATATATAAAAAAAATACACTTTTCAAATCATATTTTCTTTGGACCGGACATGAAATCACTATTTAGAGTTGATGCTCAACTTAAAGGTCAATATTATCAAGAGGAGCAACTCAACTACTCGTATATATGTTAGTATTTTATACTTAATCGATACGTAATTTCATCTTTAACAAAAAATAATAATAATAATCGCTCATTTTTCATCTTCCTAATTATTTGGTTCACTGTACGTTTCATTAGGATGTCAAGAAATTGAGAATAATTATATATACAATACGTTAGATAAGGTCTAAAAGTTTAAATTATAAATGAGACATGAATTTATTCAATTAAATTTTGTCTCGACACATTCAAAAAAAGGGTCACATGTATTAAGAAATATTATCTACAAAACATTCATTCTGAAACAAAGATTTTACACGAACACAAGTTTCATAAGTTAGTAATACTAAAAATTTAAACTAAGTCCCAATTCATTAGGTAAGAGACAAGAATTACAAAAGTTAAAACAAAGATTTTACACTTACACAATTTTCATAAATCTAATAAACAAAAAACAAGAAAATAAATTAGGTCCTTCAGTACAGTATAATTACATGATGAGTAATCAATTTAATAATTTAACTGACAGCAAATGATCATATGCATGTATTCATTTAAATGTTATCTTCAACCATTTATTTTATTTTTAATTATCTTCGACACTTAATGTCAAGAACATATACTCATTCTAGGGTTTTTGATTAGTACCCTTGAAGACACTCATTAAGATGAAAATGGGAACACGTCAACATCTCTGGTTGTTTAGACCTAGCACTTATTATAATTTAGAAAAACCAGGATTGACTACATCAAAAAAAGGAGGAAAACCTAGCTACAATTTTTCTTGACCAAATGTGAAAATGCAGTTAAGTTTTACAAGATTTTTCTAGACTGCTATTTAATATTATGATCTCTTGATTTTCAAGTTTCAAGGCATATAAAACGGAAGGATTCCCAGTTTCAATTATAATAAAATTGGGCATGGTCCCAATTCATTAGGTAAGAGAGAAGAATTACCAAAGTTTATTTTGAATTTACTTGGACTCAAAATTTCCTGACTTTTCTAATTCTTTTTAAACTGGAATAAAATATTTTATATATTTCTGAATTTGAAGTAGTCCACAAATTCATTTTTAAGTCTGTGAAAATTACAGCTTGTTTATTTTACTATGCAACGAGTGATTTTAAAATAATTATATCTTGAAAATTGCTTTTCTAAGAAGGTGGGCAACAATGACCTGTATCACGAGTGCTATACGCAAAACATCAAATGCAGATGCATACATAAACACGCGAATATATACTTTTACATGTTAGATGCCTACGGATTTCCATTGATAAACTATAGTTTTTTAGAGAGAGTTCTTTCATCATCCTCTCACACATTCTAGGGCTTATTGTTCTTTGGCAGTTTTTAGAGTTGTAAATAATCATTCTGAAGCGTAGTTAATGAATCTTCAAGCCAAGAATGATATCTCTTTTCATGTTGGAGATTTATCATTTCCGGTCGTGTGAGGAATACAGAAATAATTGCGCATAAAACGTCTGTAGCTGGCTTTTTTGAGCTCTCAAGCTTCTACTCGATCTACTTCTAAACTTCTGTAACTTTGTAAATAATCAATCGATATGTTATATATGCATCCCTAAATTTCGTTGATTACACTCTACAAACTCTTAGATATTACGAAGAAAATACAAGGTTCGATGGAGGGAAGTGAAGATAGTACCGAATATTCTAAGACTAGCCCTTATGAGATAAGTGATGATGACAGTGAAAGTGATCAGCAGAGAAATGAAGTGTCCAAGCTTAAAGAAGGAGGAAGCTCAAGCAACAGTACTGTTGAAGAGAGCGAGAAGAAGCCATCCGTGAGGCCTTATGTCCGATCCAAGATGCCTCGACTCCGGTGGACACCTGATCTTCATCTGCGCTTCGTTAATGCTGTTGAAAGACTCGGGGGTCTAGATAGTGAGTTAATTCAAACTTTTTGTACATGCGTTTAGAAACTAAATTTGAAGTAAACTTTTGTGATTTGCAAAATTGAGGTAAGGTTTTGCTAATAATCTAATAATTTTTCATCTTTTGGTGCAGGAGCAACACCAAAATTAGTACTTAAGTTGATGGACATGAAAGGGCTTAATATAGCTCATGTGAAGAGTCATTTACAGGTACAAATACTTGTAGATTTTTTAATTATTGAAAAAAAAATGTACTAATATATGTAAAAAAGAACAATTAAAAATAAATATGTTTAATTCCACCTTAATTTACAATCAATACTTACTGGTTGGTTAGCTTTTGCAGATGTATAGAAGCAAAAAGACTGATGATCCCAGCCAATTAGGTACAATTTTATTTTCTTTTTCCTCTTTTCCTTTTTCTTCTTTCCCCTTAATTTCTTTGAGTACCACTAGGGTTTCGATTTTCACACTGATCTTATTCAATTTATCCTTCTACCTTACAGGTATGACGGATTCCAGGGTATTTATGGAAGGCACAGACCGATATATCTATAATCCAAAACAGCTCCCTCATCTTCCAAGCTTTAACCAAAGGGATAATTGTACTTTCAGGTATATTAATCTAAAAACAGTTTCTTATGGTTCATAATTATATTGGTGTTAATTTGCTCACATTAAGAATCCAAATTCTTTCCCAAGTTATGGAGATGCTTCTTGGAATGAACTTGCGAAATGGATGCATAATTCGACCCCAAGGCAGAATACTTATCACAAGATCAGTCGACAAGGGTTTTACGATAATCTTACTGAGAGGATCTTGAGCAACCAGTATTCTAGGTCAGTAAATCAAGATCTTCTTAGCACAAGAATATCTTCTTTCAATGAAGGATCCAGTTGGAGAATCAACGAATCCAAAGGTGAACTCGGATCACTTCACGAGCAAGAATCTTGGAGAGGTCAATCTAAACAAAACCCTATTTGTGAGATCAATTCCTTAAAGCTGATGCAGCAGAAAGTGTGTGAGCATAGAACTTCAGATAATAGAATTAGTATCACTCCTCAAAAGATGGATGGAACAACGAGTTTCCAAAGGCAGACCACGATAAAAAGGAAGGCCTCAGACTGTAATCTCGATTTGAATTTATCGCTCGCATCAGAATCAAGGGACGATGAGAAGCAGAAAGGTTTACAGTATGACGAGAGCAGGTTGTCGTTATCATTGTACACTCCGTCCTTATCGAAGCTTAAGAAGTTAAAAGAAGATGATAATAATGCAAGAGGGGCGAGTACTCTGGATCTGACTCTGTGAATTAGGTAATTCTAAGTGAGATCTTGAGGTACTTGTTTCAGAAAATGCATATTTCATTTGTGTTGTAGAATTAAGATGAGTAACAATACTCATGTTTATTTTTATTTTTTGTTTTTTATCTTTAATTGCTGGAAAGATTTAGCTGCTTCATTGATATCGGAGCCTTAACTGCAAGAAAAATAAAAGGAAAATCATTTTTGATATGCTATTTCCTTGTGTGAAAATATGTAAAGCAAAAATAAAACAAACTCCTTTTATTACCATTTAGTAGTATTTTAGCAGACTTTTAAGGTAGTTTAAAACTGCTTAATTCTTTTTTTATATGTATGAGACATACCTAAATTTGGAGAAATAGCAATAAGAATGGGAGAAGTAATGAGGTTCGACCAGCCCACTAGAACCAGTATAATTGAGTGAACACATTCAACCAACTAGAGGGGACAATGATAGTTAACATGAAAATCATTCATCAAAAGCAATGAGTGACAGTTGGCACTAATTAATATGCGCACGCACGCGCACACACACGCGCACACAGAAAAAAGTTACTATTTAAGCTACTTTAAAGCACAACCAAACTTGTTACTATAGGTTCATAGATTATCACATATTGAAGCATGCAAATTCTGAAATACTAACATTTCCTTTTTGCATAAGTTTAGGAAATTGAAATTTTTATGGAACTTCCTAAAAACATTTCAAAAACTCTAAAAAAAAAATCTCCTTTTTTAATTCTCTCGAAACACAAGGAATGTTCTATCTAAATTTGGGACCTTTTAACCAAAGTGTTGGTAGTTTCGAGACACACTTTAGCATAACTTGTAAGTTATTTGGACAACCTCATTCTTCTAGTTATGAAACTTTTGGTAATATTGTTTCTCTTGCAAGTTTAACAAATTTATGAAAATAATTAATTTGTGAAGAGCCATTTAGACATCATTAGAGCATATATATATTTGATTAATTTACTTGTATAATTATAGAGATGCATCTCTATAAAGCATGAAAACAAATACAAATGAGAGAGTGATAGGAAATGAAATCATACAAACTTTAAAACAAGTATTTATATTTTACTGCTTCATGCATATATATATATATAAGAAAGTTTGGCATTGTATGGAGCAAACTATTTACAAATTTCCTGATTCTTCACATTTATCAATCGATTAAAACTCAAGTTTCACTTAAATATTAAATTATTAGTCAAGATCTGATAATAGAGATTAATTTTTATGATTCACCAAATTGGAGTAAGATAACTGAATAAATTGAAATGTGTAACTAATAGTCTGTTAAAATTAATAGGTTATGACAATTAGCTAGTAATAGTAAATCAATTAGATGTAATACATTGTTTTGACAAACCTGTCAATTTTTTTTTCTAAGATTAGATGCACATAAAGGCCCGCTGGACTTTTGAAAAATAAATAGCTACTTTGGAGTTAAGAAGTTACTTTTAAATATGTTTAGATAATATTTTGAAAACGTCTTATTTGATTTGAAGAGCTTTAAGAGAAAGTAGATCCAAAATAGTTTTCTTACAAAACTCTTCTATAAAAAATAGAAATGACTCGAGCTATTCTCGTTTCTTTAAGGCTTCTATAAGTGTTATGCCCTAAGTCCAATCAAATTTGGACAAAAATACTTTTAATATATAATTGATACAATTGTATGACGGATCTATTATTTAATTAATACTCAATTAAATTAAATAATAGAGTTCCGTAGATTCAAGTTTTTGTAATTTGCTAATCAAAAAGAATTGTGATTGTGAGATACAAATTACTTATTATTGAATTTTAAACCATATATGATCATAAGTAACAACGAGATAAGGATATTGTTAATACGGATAGACCATCACGTGTGACATTTCTTATTTGTGAAGTAAGTAGTTAATCTCACAAGTTAAAATGTGGTGACACTTAAATGAACGCGTGAATATTTTGTTATAAAACAAACATTGGAGATCTGCTGAGGAGATTTCACATGGATAACTATTGGAGTATTAATGGTTAATTCCTAATGTTCGGTAGCGGAATTGGTCCTTTGAGTTAAAGTCATCATAGTGTTGTATATTAGGACTCTCATACTTTGGTGATCTTAGATGTTGCTCTACCCAGGGTCATTAATACGACATGGTATGTCAAGAATCATATGAAGGTTATAAATAATCAATAGAGAATTTGTCCCTCTTAGATAGTAATAGATTATGATATACATTTCATTCAGTTAAGTTGGTAACGAAATCCTTAGTCAATGTGTACTCATAAGTTGAAAATGAGTTTTCTACTTACATTGGCCTAATAGTGGAATGAAAGATATGATCCACAATTGAGATTGACATATATTCATATCTCGTAATTAATCGAATCATATTGACGAAAGGATTATAATTTTACGATAAACGAACAAGTTTAGTTTTGTTATATTACATGATATTTTCTATCACATATATTGCACTGACACATTGTTAGATGTCAATTTAGGACGGCGGATGTGAATTAGTGATAAATTAAACGAGGTGTTATAATTTATCGATTTTGATTAGATCAAACAAATCAATGTCCTTCAAGTCCGATATGCACCTATCAAACTTGTTGACGTACTCCCGGATTGGTGTACCTTTATCCATCTTGCAAGTATACAATTTGGACTTTAAATAGATCCGATTAGTTAGAGTCTTCGTCATGAAGTTCGTCTCCAACTTTGTCCACACCTCCACCGCCGTTTCCTCACCATCAACCAAGAAAGCAACATCTCTTTCAAGGTATAGAATGATAGACGCTCGTGCCTCAAGATCTAGCTCTTCCCAATCCTCGTCCGACATATCAACGTGCTTCTTCTCCTTTCCCGCTAATGCCTTGTGCAACTTTTGAGAAATCAACAAATTTTTCATTTGCATTCTCCAATATGAAAAATCATTCTTCCCATTGAATTTCTCTATCTCATACTTCCCAATCTTCATCATTCCTCTAGTAGACATGATTTATCCACTTGTTTACCGAAAATAAATCACCAAAGTTCACTTGGAAATTTTCACAAACACCTTGTGCACAACAAAGTTCAAGCAACTCACCACAAAATCGAAGCTTAACCACCTTAATTTAGGAAGAATCTCTGATACCAAATTGTTGGGAAAAACACCTCCCAAAGATTTTCCAAAGATCAAACAAAGTTGACAATGTGAAAATTTCCAAACCACTTCAAGAACAAGAAAATGGGGAAGAAATGATTTCAATGGAATATATGAAGAACAATGTATTTGGATTACTTGAACAAACCTCAAGTTAATCCCCAAGAAAGAAAATAACTTTAAATTTATACCCAAGATGAACAACCTTCGATCTTGTAAAATTCTCTCCAAGTTTTCTCTCAAGTTTCTCTCTAAAATCGGGCTCAAGGGTTATGTTATAATTAAGAGGCAAAAATTGGAAGTCTATATATATATACCGGGCGCCTAGGCGCCATGTTTCTGCCGGTTTTCACATTCGGGGCGCCTAGGCGCCCAGTTTCTGCTTCGGCAGAAACTGGGCGCTGCTTCCTCTTCTCAGCTTCTTCTTCAACTTCTCTTCTCACAATTCTCCACCTCGTACATCATTTGATAGACCTCAAATTTTGGACGAATACAAGAAGAATAAGCAAGCACCAAAACTCGGCTGCATCATTCAAACCATGATTGCCTACGTACCCAAAACTCGGGATCAAGCCTCCGTAGTTCACCTCCACCTTCATATACACTCCACCTCATTTCAACCCCGCCCCGAAGGGCCATGCCCTCTCGGGCATATCAACACGGACTAATGTGAAGTAAGTCCAAGCAATGTTGAAACTTGCTACCCGTTACCACTTTGGTTAACATGTCAGTTGGGTTCTCATTTGCGTGTACCTTCGAAAGTGAAATATCACCTTCCTCTATGACATCACGCACAAAATAATACCTGACGTCGATATGCTTGGTTTGAGCATGATAAACTTGATTCTTAGCCAAGTGAATCGCACTCTGGCTATCACACCACAAGTCCACACAATCCTGCTCAATCCCCAAGTCATCTAGAAGACCCCATAACCACAATGCTTCCTTCACTCCCTCTGCCATGGCCATATACTCGGCCTCTGTAGTAGAAAGAGCAACTGTAGCCTGTAACATCGATCGCCAACTGACTGGGGCACCATGTATGCAAAACACATATCCAGTAGTAGATCGTCGTCTATCTAGATCACCTGCATAATCCGAGTCCACAAACCCACTTATATGACATGCATCTCCACCAAAATATAAATCCATATCCGCGGTACCTTTTAAGTACCTCAGGATCCACTTCATAGCTTCCCACTGTGCCTTCCCCGGATTCGCCATGAATCTACTGACTACACTAACCACCTGTGAAATATCTAGGCGTGTACACACCATGGCATACATCAAACTGCCAACTGCACTAGCATAAGGCACGCGATCCATGCGTCCCTTTTCTTCCGCTGTAGTAGGAGACTGTTTACCAGAGAGCCTGAAATGTGGAGCCAATGGAGTCACCACCGACTTTGCACCTTGCAACCCGAACCTAGCAACAACCCGCTCAATGTAGCCTTTCTGACTCAAGAACATTCGTCGGTTCGTCCTCTTTCTTCTGATCTCCATACCTAGTATTTTCCTAGCAGCCCCCATATCCTTCATCTCAAATTCTTTACCAAGTTGAGATTTCAACCTATCTATCTCCACCTTGCTTTTCGAAGCGATAAGTATGTCATCCACATACAATAGAAGATAGATATAGTTACCTCCCCGAAGTTTCCGAATATAAACACAACAGTCATACTCACTTCTGGAGAAACCATGCTTTAGCATGAAGGAGTCAAATCGCTTGTACCACTACCGAGGAGATTGCTTCAATCCATATAGTGATTTTCTCAAGCGACATACCTGACGTTCCTTATCCTCAACCTTGTAGCCCTCAGGTTGATGCATATAGATCTCCTCACCCAAGTCCCGTGCAAGAAGGCAGTTTTGACATCGAGTTGTTCCAGCTCAAGATCATGATGAGCAACAATACTCAATAGCACTCGAATGGAAGTGTGCTTGACCACCGGAGAAAAAATCTCATTGTAGTCAACTCCCTCTCTTTGTGCAAACCCTTTAGCCACTAACCTTACTTTGAATCTTGTACCACCGAACTTGGTAGGATCCTCTTTCTTTTTGTACAACCA